TATCCTGTGAATGAGCGCCGGCCTCACCAATGATAATGCAGCGGTCAGGGCATGCTGGTCTCTGTAGTGCCGCCAGGCTGAGAAGCTCCCCGTCTCCTAAGCCCCGCCCCCAGATTTCCAGGTTGGTCTTTGGTAACACGAATCGTCGCCCAGTACCGTCATCACAGAAGACACGAAATCACAGAAAATACACAAAACATCCAAAAAGAGGCACTTTGTCCCCGGGACGTCTCCGCACCAGTGACGGGGGGGAGGGCGCCACGCCGTCTCCGCACCAGGGACGGGGGGAGGGCCCAACGCCGTCTCCGCACCAGGGACGGGGGGAGGGCCCAACGCCGTCTCTGGACCAGGAACGGGGGGAGGGCCCAACGCCGTCTCCGCACCAGGGACGGGGGGAGGGCCCAACGCCGTCTCCGGACCAGGAACGGGGGGAGGGCCCAACGCCGTCTCTGGACCAGGAACGGGGGGAGGGCCCAACGCCGTCTCCGGACCAGGAACGGGGGGAGGGCCCAACGCCGTCTCCGCACCAGGAACGGGGGGAGGGCGCCACGCCGTCTCCGCACCAGGAACGGGGGGAGGGCGCCACGCCGTCTCCGCACCAGGAACGGGGGGAGGGCGCCACGCCGTCTCCGCACCAGGAACGGGGGGAGGGCGCCACGCCGTCTCCGGACATCACCGTATCGAATGGATTATTGCAAAGAAGCTTCACCCGTTTTACTGGTTCTAGGACTGAGCAGATGAAAGGGAGCCGCCAACATGGCGAGGAGCACCACGGGAGGTCCCACCCGGAGGAGGAGCACCACGGGAGGTCCCACCCGGAGGAGGAGCCCCGCGGGAGGTCCCACCCGGAGGAGGAGCACCACGGGAGGTCCCACCCGGAGAGGAGCACCACGGGAGGTCCCACCCGGAGAAGGAGCCCCGCGGGAGGTCCCACCCGGAGGAGGAGCACCACGGGAGGTCCCACCCGGAGGAGGAGCACCACGGGAGGTCCCACCCGGAGGAGGAGCACCACGGGAGGTCCCACCCGGAGGAGGAGCCCCGCGGGAGGTCCCGCCCGGAGGAGGAGCCCCGCGGGAGGTCCCGCCCGGAGGAGGAGCACCACGGGAGGTCCCACCCGGAGAGGAGCACCACGGGATGTCATGGATGGGTTCAGGACATACAAGGCAGCGGCAGGTGGCCATTATTCTGGTCAGCTGACACAACTGCCACAAAGTGACCGGGTCAGGGGGAGCAGCGATGGCCACAGAATTATAATTGCCTGTCCAGCGGCTTATGTGCTGAAGTTGGGCCCCCATGGTGTCACCTCCACGTGTATCTGAACCAAGGGCCACAGGTTTATAACGTATCGTATAGATGAAGCCGCCACGTTTCAGGGCCCCAGAACTCCCCCCTTCATCGGGGCCGGCATGCTGGCAGGAACAGGAGCCAATACTGGAGATCGCCCCGCCCACATCATAATGAGGCTTCCTTGTTGTCAGACATCAGTTCCTGTCACAGCCAGCGCCCTGCCCTGAGCCCCGAAACGTGGCACTTGCTGCACTCCCGTGTCTCTCTCTCCTTTTATACTTTGGGGGGCCCCCCTGATGGACCCCGTATGAGCGAGAGCTTCCTCCCAATCCTGGAGACCAAAGTTCATTTGACTCATCCGGGGCTCCTCCAGTCTCATGTGACCCTTCAGATGTATGGAATAGCGTGGTCCCCCCGTGGTTCCCCTACATGACTCCTGTGTCCTATAGAGACTGGGAGGAACCACAGCCACCAGCAAGAAGCCACGCCCATTTCACACACCGGGGGGCGTCAGATAGTTTCGGGGTCCAGAGGAAGCGATCAGCAAACCGCGCGCTGGGCAGGCAAGTGTCACGCTGCTGCTCAATGTTCTGCAGCCCCGTCCACGGCCACTTTACCATCCCGTGGACCAATCACAAAGGCTTACTCTTGCTTGTAGGTTCCCCCGGAAGGCACCTGCATAGTATTTTGTATCTGTTACATATTAAACCCTGAGTATTATGGCTATAAAAAGGAGGGGTGACCACGTGTCACGGGAAGGGCCACGTATGAAAGCACCGTGACAGTGTTTCAGTGGATTTCAGCCGAGTCCGAGGTTTGGATCCAGCACAGAAGAGGAAGAAGTCTCAATGTCTTTCCGTCACTTCCACGAATGAAAAATCACGACGTGTCTGCAGGCACAGAACTTCGGCCACGAAGCTTTAATAGTGGTAAAGAAAGAAAAGTAGTAAAAAATATTAGATTCTCTCCCCCCCCCC